GAAAATACAGCTTGTTGAAATTTGTAAACATGTCATTAATTGTCATTATTTGTTAATATTTCCAAACATTAAAAATTAATTTTGGTTTCCTTTGTCGATTACATTAAGTGAGAACGATTTTTCTATTATGATACGCTTTATTTTGTTATTAATTTGCCATTTATCTCTGAACGATATACTGTGCGATTTTTGCGCACGGGCCAACTAGTGGTTCATTATTTCCAAATAGTTATATATCAAATATGTGTGGCGTGTCTCACCAGATTCTTTACCACTTCTACGAAATAACTCCTAATGACTATTTTATTATTCACTTTTTGTTGAAAAAAAAATTAATAATCAAATTATCCTTCAAAAAACAATTTTGACTTATACCTTAGATATAAAGCATCTCAGCTGTAAAATAAAAGAAATTTACAATGCATTAAAACATATGAAAAAAGTTTAAAACATCATATCTCTGCATCCAATAGTCCAATGGAGATGGATACACAAAAGTGTGTGCCTTTTAAGTAATTTAAAAATAACATTATAAGTTAATCATATTTATTTCCAGGTCTTTTGCGGGAAAGTATGTTATGTATATAAATTTATAGTGATTTGAAGAGAAAACAAAGAAAGTCTCATTAATATAGTTACAGCCGTTTTGAAGCTATAATCTATAGAGTTGCATGTCGCCATTTTGAAACGAAAGGGCGGATGCTTATGGCGAGTTTGAAGAATCATTCTCGGGTAATCTCTGACTATTTTATACCGAATTTAAAAACAATCGGCGCACTAGGATCGGATAAAACACTCGATAGCAGAAGGACAAAAAATTATTTATTATATTTTCGTATTATATGGATAAATTAGAAGTGTGTAATCTTTTTGTTTTCTTAGTCGATTTAAATGGTCATCATTGAAAATAATTAACCAAAATTAAGATATTCCAGAAACTAATCTTTATTTTAATCGAAAAATAAATTAACGTAAAAAAAAATGGTAACGAATTGGCAATAGACGAACAAGGTATCAAAGTAATATATAAAATTAACAAGATAAGAAATGTATTAATAGAATATAATGAAAGATTTAAGAAGAAATGAGAAAGAATGATTACTTCGTCCAATTAAGGTTATCCTGTGAGAAAATACTTTCCTAATGGAATAGTCGCCGAGATCTTGGAAAACGAGAACTGTTAAGGGAGATTGCCTTGGCTCAGTTTATATTTCTCAATACATCCTTCTACTAATGATTATTTCTACACTTCTTAAATGATTCTACTGAACTCAAACTTTATAACGTTGGTATGAATAAGGCATTTCACTAACATAGATGATTTTGGAATTTATCATGAATTTATTTTGTAGTTTTGCAGTTTAAACAGAAGGTGATCCAATAGTTTTAAAATTTTCCAATTAATAAATTGTAATTTTTTTCAGTAACTAACAAAAATATAATATATTTATTTAGATGCCCGGAACATTCAGAAATAATAATCCAAGCACCAAATACTTATAGAATGTAGAATCGTTTGCCACTGCAAATGCGTTGGATAGTTCTAAGGTAATCCAAACGCTTTCTCAATTCTTCATTTAGCAGTTTTTATCATTATTGTATCGTATATACTGTGTTTCTATTGAAAATACTCAGAAAGGTCTATAATCCTAAAAATATTCCTTTTTAATTACAATAAACAATAAACATTCTAATAAAAAATACACTTTAATTCGTCAATAAAAATAAGTTTGATAAAAAATGAGTAATGATAAAATAAAGAATAAAAATATGTATGATTATATAAATATTTAATAACGACAAATGATAAATTGATAGAGAAAGCTGTTATGACAAAATATAAGGAAATAATGACAGTAAAACTGTTTAATTATTTAGGGAAATGAGTATTTTACAAGGGAGAGGAGAGGCAAGGAATGAGGAGTAGTGAATACAAAGATTAAGATTCGCGACAAAATACATGTACAACAAAAATAATTTATCTTGTGGGTAAAACTTAGACACTATGAAACTGTTGTAAAACTGGTGATATTGTACGGTACGAAAACAATATGGTTCAAAACTATGGAGGAGATGTTGAAAAAAGAAAGGAAAATCCGAGAAGAAAGGAATTCAGAAGATGAGATTTTACGGACATTTTGTCAAGACGTATAAAAATAGATCAAATAAGAAACTTTTTGATATAATGTTAGGGCTCAAAAATATACAGTTATCCAGGACAGATTAATAACGTGATAACCTAACTGAATATAATAAGCCAGAATTATTACGAAAAAGTCGAATTCCGGAAAGGTGTTTACCAAATGAGTGTCCTCGATATGGAAAAGATCAGCACGTAGAAGAAGTGGTCAGAGGCACAGAAGGCACAGCAGTAGTCGGTTTTCAGTTCAGATTTTGCCCGATCCGACAAGCGATGTTTCAAGAAATTCTTGGTATGCTTCTACAAACTTCCATCGTCAGTCAATAGGTCGTTCAAGTAAGCATCATAGTTTGTCGCATTGAATTTTTAAATTAGTCGTTTAAGGTCGCTATTCATTCTGTTAAATATACGTTTTTTTGTTTTTCTAAAGGAAATCTGTTATTCTGCTAAACCTTACGAACTCTTGTCGTGATCAAGTCCCTTATTTACAGAGGTTACTTAGGCAAATGTTTTGGCCTTGATGGCATTGGAAGAGATGAAGTCCAAGCAGCTTTTTGAACACTTTTGGTCAATTTTTCCGCTGCCTCATCTAGTTCTTCTTCAGTTTTGATTGAGCGTGGAATTGACAAGTCTGAATCCAGAAATGCCCTATAAGCACCCCAATCCATGTCACCATTGATGCATTTTGGGTTTCTTGGAAGATTTATGGGATCATCTAGGATAACCAATTGTATAAGCGAATGACCAAGAAAAATAACCAATTTTTTCCGATCTTTTCTGAGCTGTCTGCTGCTGCTGCTGCTGCCCAGGATGTTGTTGATGTGCGTGGTTCTGCTTCCGAGGAAAAAACATTTAAAAGTTCCTAGATAGTTGTGCTAGAGACGAAAAACCTTGAAGGTTCGCAGAAGGGGGTGGTATTCTCTGATGAACGTGATTTCTTGTCTTCCTCTGTTCCCTTAGATCTCTAAGTGTCTGCGCCCAACACGATTAGCGCAATTCGCCGGAATGTCTCGTGTTTTGTTACACGTATATATAAATATATATGAATAACAGTATTTATTATTCATAAAAAAATATATCACTGATAAAATATATGTGAATGAAATACTTATTATTGATAAAAATACATATCATCGTGGTAAAAAGTAATCATAGTTTACAATAATCGGTGTGTTGATATTTTTATTTGTTGTGCTGCCGGTGCTTTGGTATTTCAAATAAAAGGCATAGATGTACTATATGAACACAATGTCCTCCGGCGTTGGGGAAGATATTTTCCTGAGATCGTAAAGATCCAGATAAACGACGTTCCCTGGAGCCAGGGAATTTGGCGCAGGTCCTTGCTTTATTCATTACACAGCTTCTGGAGGTGTTCACTCAACCATTTTATTACCTACTAAAGTGCCGTTACAGCGGGCAGGTATTACACAGTCCGATGATCTACACTCAGCCAACATACTTATTATACATCATGAGTTATATAATCCCGAATGGGAGATTGTTTATTTTATATTTTTCTATTGTTTTAGTTATAACTCCATTTCTTTCAAATATTGATACAAACTACTATACAAACTATTATATTTCATAAATACAGATTTTATACATAAGTGTAGATTTCAAAATTATTTTTCGCTTCATTTAAAATCAGAGAAAAACCAAATACATACACTTACCTGCTCAACCCCATTTAGACATACGCCTCATAGATTTGCGGTTCAGCAAAAAGGACTTGCTTACAAACACTAAAATCTTTTCAAACTAACATTTTAAGACTAATAGACTAACTAAACAAAAAACTTTACATACCGACCTAAGACAACCAACTACTGACCAATACATACGTACTCTCTACTCCCGATTTCATCTTGAAGTATACAGACATCACAACGGACTTATCAACAAGGCTACGGCTGTTATGCTCATCAGAAGGCGACTGAAAAGAAGCTGGATGAGAGACCTCCTTTCCTGATATAAGTATGTAAACAGAACGGAGAAGAGATGGTGATATGAAGAGGTACTATTCTTCATCATGCCTATCATGATGAAGAATATTCCTCATATATTCCTTAGAGAATCTTCAACTATTGTTCTTGAAGAGCTATGAAAATATAAATTAATGATGAACTTAATGGAGTAGGCAAACTTGCTTTACAGTTTACTAATTGCTGAAAGAAAAAATATGATTATAATAAAATACAGAAATTTTAATTATTTCATTCTGCATAAACTTTATCATTAAGGAAAATTACTGTCGGTCGGCATCGATAAAATTATTTTTCTATCCATATTTTCTATTTTTAGTATCATAAATTATGTTGCTCTCTAATTTAAGAGCATTTGATAAACATTAACGTTAATTATAAATATTAATTATTTATCTATTTTATAATTTTAACGAGAAGATTTCGAAATAGTGCAGTATAAAAAACGAATGAAGAAAAATAAGAGCATGGGAAATGTTGAATAACTAATAAATAATACTTGATAATGGCTACAGTTTTTAGCCGAAACATTCCTAAAATTTTAAAATGAGTACTGAAATCGGCGATAAAACGATCTGAGAGTGAGATACAATTATTATTTAATTCTATTAGTAAAAAAAAGTCTTGATTATTAGTTGTTAAATAAGTGGTGTTTGAATGAGCTTAGCAAAACATAACAGACATTATAGAAGGATATTATAAGATACAATATACAATTGAATAACGAAGGGGGATTTTTTTGTGTATTCAATTAGGTACGTTTCTTACAAATTACTAGATCTACTTAGTTCATGTTTTTTTAATCCTGTTCCACTCACGCCTCTTAAATTTAGTATTGAAATCGTATGAATTGGATGGTGTGGAGTTACACTTAGGAACATGAGAAAAAGCCGAGAGACAAGGGAAACCCACTGACAGCTCCTCCTAGCAATAAATCTAACTCAGCTGTCACTCAAGGAGGTCTCTCATCCAACTCCTTTTCAGCCGTTAGCAGGTATCTAACAAATGGATTTAGGTCATGGTGAGTGTAATGGATCAAGGCGTTTCTTATATTTATAATTCTAACATTTGTGCAGGTTCTTTTCTTAAAAACGTATTGTAGAGTAGAACCTTCCATCCCAAATGTCATGATTTTAGAAAGGAAATAACTATTTTTTTCATATAGATATATCTTCCTTCTGTTAGGTCAAAGGCGGAAAACGCTTGTTATTTTTCTGTTAAACGTCTTAGCTTGCGCCTTAGCCCGAAACTTAAAAATTATAATTTACAGAACCATTATCCTACTCTGCGGTTACCTGTGAAACCTGGGCGCTTACATTGACTGATGACCAATGTCTTAAGGTTTTTGAAAATAAAGTATTATGTAGAATACTTGGACCAAAGAAGAATGAGTCAACCGGATACTTTAGACGCTGATTTGCATGAACTATATTCGGTTCATATAACTGAGGTGATTACATTTCGGTGAATGAACGTGTTCAATTGCTGTACCTGGTAACGAAAATAATCCCTAAGAGGTTAATAAGCGCTATACCGACTGGTAACGTTCTAAAAGTAACCAAAGAGAAGGTGGGAAGTTTGCGTCAAAGCTTATGGCCGGTGGAGGGAGGTGTGTAGACAGCGATTGGTAGTGTCGCCATCGAAACTTCGAGTTCGCTAAGCCTTTTATTCTTATATTTTCCTCTAAGATCCTTCATATATTCGAGATACAGGATATTTTTTTTTAATTTGTTTTAATAGGTTACAATTTTGGCATAGAAATTGATTATTATACGAATAAACGATTTTTTTGTTAATTTTTCCCTCATCTTGCACAAATATTTTCGATTATTTAAAGTAAAAAAGGAGGAAATTCCAGGATTTTTCTTTGTCCACCAATTATATGCATGGTAAGAACAAGATCTAAGTAAAAATGAATGCTTCATATTTAGTAGATATAAATATGATATGGAGTACATGGTATAAATGGAAAAACTTCTCATCGTTTCTTATAGTCCTTAATTATAGCCAAACATAAAGTGTAGAAAATAACTTCCTATTATGTTCAAATATTATGTATAATACATTTTTCATGTTAGGGAGAAAATATCAAAAATGTACTTTTGATATTTATAGTACGAATATAAAAATTAAAACTATACCTAGCCTATATCAAACTTATTAACACGACCTTATACTTTACAGAGCCCTTGGCTGGAGTCCAGAGGAGCTTACCAATAGCACACGGGAAGGTGGCTGGAACTCCACCACCACACCAAGAACTTCAGTTCCCAACAGACTAACGGCGCCGTCGATCCTTTTCTCAGGGTAAACAGATCTTTGAAAACAATCTCGGGCTACCTATTACCTGCCCCTATCCACCAATACAACGATCCTCATTTTCAAATCAATATTATGTTAGGTTTCTATGGGTATGGGCTGGAATCAACAGCAGCTGTACACTATGGCTTCACTAGCACACAAACAGTTATGTTATGTGTATCGTGCAGAAGCCTTAAAATTAAGATAATATCAAAATTGATTCACGAAATTTCGTTCCAGAAATGCTCTGGCCGACCGAATGAAGCTATAAAAAATCAAGAGGTTATTAAAGAAAATAGTCATAGTTGTCAAGAAAATACTAGTAAGATTGCATACAAGCTCGGTGTATCACATACGTACATTAAAAAGCGTTTGAAACAACTTTGTGTTGTTGGATATTATTACTATTTGTAAACAAATTGGGTATTTTTATTTTCCCAAAAATCTGCAATTAGTTAGTTGCTAAGCCTAAACAAACTTTACAGTCAATTTTCAGAACTTTAACTAAAGCTCCGTAGTAGGTCACAAAAAGTTAATGGCCTTGTACGAATACACTACAAAATATTTCAGAATGACTTACAAGAGCTTAAAAGTATACTCATTAACATGCATGATAACAACCGTAGAATGCTCAAAAGAAGCTGGACGAGGGATCTCTTCGCTTAATTATAAATACTAAATTCAAGATGGGAAGGAATTTCAAGATAGAAGTCTTTCTTCTCAACGCCATAATCACTGGTTGTCAGTATTTCTGACAAGTGCGAGTGAAGAAATAAAGTATTCGAAAAAATCATTTCACCATATTGCAAAATGTCAGTAAACTGTAAACATAACTTTAATCTAAACAAAACTTAATTCTTCAAGCCACAATATAATCGGTTTAAAATTATATATTAATACTAACAGAAATGTAAAAAAAAAACTAACGCGTCATCTCAAAATTTACCTATACAATTTACAATAATTTAAATTTTAAATTAATTAAAGATTTTAGTTAATAAAATATAATGATTAAAAATATAAATATTTATGAAAAATATTACTTAATAACTAATTTATAAATAAGAAAATATTTTTTTCCAAACTGTTTCAGGAATGAAATTTATTTCTTCATGACATTTTATCTTCCTGATCGATGCTTGAAAAGTTTAGGTACATTAGAAACATAGTCCATTAAATTAAGTTCTAGTTTTTTCATCCAGACTGAAACGACAAGACACAGCTCGACGTTTTCGACTAATTCAACACTTACTAGACTAACGCTCTAACCTTCCAATTAATTACAAAAGACTCATTTACATGACTATAAAAAGGCCTATTTGGACTTACGGAATTGAGCTATGGGGCTCCACCAAACCTTCAAATTCCTCTCGTATCCAATCCTTACAATCCAAAATCCTTCGTAAAATCCTCCACGCTCCTTACTTTGTTACAAATAAAATCATCCATAATGACCTTAATGTTCCTTATGTATCAGATTTGGTCCTATCCAGATACCCATCCTTCCATAATAAACTTCATAACCATCCCAACCCTCTTGTTTCTAACCTTGCTTCCTATTCAATTCCTGATAACCCTCCGAGGCGTCTGAAAAGATGGCCACGTGATCTCCTAATATAGACATATTATTAGAGTGCTACCAATGGGTAGTTTCTCAACATGTGTTTCATGTCATTATATCCATGTGCGGATTTACTAGATGTATTTTTGTATACAGTTGTAAATATCATATAAATAAATAAAAAATAAAAAAAAGATTTTGCATAGGTCACTCCAAAAAAATGATGCCATCATCCACAAAAAAGTCAACGACACTTCTAGTTTTCTATTGGCGTGAATTAGTGTCTTGCTTTTGCGAGAACCTGTTTCCAATGCTTGTTGACATTCGCATGGACAGCAATTTACAAATCATAACACGGCTGGAGACAGCTGTATAATCATCTAAGGCTCATTCTCACAACACCAGTAACATTATAAAAATATCATTCATATTCCGATTGGACTTAACTTACATTCCGATTACTTTATAATAATTAGAGAATATTATTAACAATAAAAATTATTATAGATATTGAACAATTGTTAGATCAATAACGCAATGCGATAATTTTGGTCCTCAATGTTTTAAGAAAATTAACATGCAAAATATGTTTATGTAAATAAGTGAATAGTTTCTTTCAAGTAAAATTTAATACAATAATTCTTTACAGTCATTGTTCATTTCTGGTTTTGAAAAGAAAATCTACTTTTTGCTCTTTTATCCTCCGTGAATTCCGGACTTCATAGATTTCTATGAAAGCAGCATTTCCTTCATAGATAGCAGTCAATGCTTAATAGATTCAGAAAATGGTTTAATGAGTTGATTGAAAAATAAAGGAAGAGTCTCAGCCTTTAATTGAACAATTATTGATTTTAATAATAATTGGTAATAGATAAGATGTGAAGGAAACTTTAGATTGAAATAAATTTTATAAAAATGATAATTTATAGCTTTAAAGTTTTATTCTAAAATACTGAAGATTTTTTTTTATTAAAGAATAATAACACAATCAAGAGAAATTATGAACATTATACGAACTTTTTATGAACATTCATAACATATAACCATAAGACCTTAAAAACATTAAAATAAATAAAGAATAAGAAAGAGAAAAAATACATTAAAAGCATAATAAAAAATATATATATATTACAATTTAAAATGAAATAGATGAAATTAAAAAAAACTAAGAAATAATAACAAAGAAAAGATACAAAAATACATGAAAATAATAATAAAAACATTGAAAAACATAAACTCAAATTTGTTAAAAGAAAAAAATAAAATAGGAATTATATTTTTATGATATTTTATATATTTATTTTTTCATTTTCATTTTATTCTTTTTAAATATTTTTTTTTAACGTTCAAGTTCCCCTTCTATCTCTTCTCGCTATTTTTATCCCTTAATATACCTCTCTTATATTTCTTCATTATTTTAAATCATATGAAGATATATACAATAGATATATAAAAAATAAGAAGAAAAAAAATACACCAAAACAGAAAAACACTATATTTTTATAATATCTTATATATTTCTTTTTTCATTATTTTTTTTTTTTTTTTGTCTTTAACATTTAACATCTCTCTAATATTTCGTCATTATTTTTTCCTTACCTAATTAATACTTTTCAAAGACGAGATTAAGATAATATTAAGAATAATCAGATTTTCTCAGAACGAATCGATCTATATTGTTACAAGAAAATCGAAAACTTTATATTTAGTATTTATCTCTTGAAATGCGATCATTCCTAAATATGAATGAGTAGTTCATTCAAACCATGTAGGTCAATACTGCGACATTTCATTGATATCACTTACAATACTATTTCCTTGTGTAAAGCATTCTCAGGACTTTTCTTTCCTCAAAGCTAAATAGAGGCTGGAAATATTGTGAATGGAAATACGCTTGGAAGGAGAGGCGTTATTATACGGGTGGGTTGAGGCGGATATACGTCGATTATGAGGAATATGACACCGAAGAAAAATCCCACTGTATCACTTTTGTCGTTCATACTTAATTTTAGTATATTTGATTCTACCAAAAGAACTTATGTATTTCTTCTTGTTATGAGAATACGTTGGTAAAATCATTATCATATTAATTCATATTAATCATATTCAAATAATTTTTTAAAGAAACAACAGCAGCTAATTAAATTAATCAGTCCAGTGACAGTAAGAGAGTATAGCAATCTCTTTTTTTTCTTAATTTTCTTTAGCTTATCCAGTAATATGAGTACTTTATTTTGTAATAAAAAACTGCTTAGATAAAAATTAATAAATATAGAAAAACTATCATACTAGTTGATGAATTTTTCCTACTTTCAAAATATCAAAGTTGCAGTAATTAATCTTTACAACGATTGTTTGATCTCATTTTCTGGATAGATGAGATGGTACCTGAGAAACTCTTTATTTATTTATTCTATTTTGTTTTGTAACCCCCTATTTTATTTACTGATAATTTCAATGACGAGATATTATTCTTTTCTTTTAGGGTTTTGCATTCAAAAAAGAATCTTACTGATCTACAACATGATTTTCGTCCGTTATTAATACTTTCGAATTGATAATTAGGTGATGAGACATCCTAAAGGATAGTTCAAAATTTCATGATGGACAATGCTAGCTAGCTAGGACTACTATTCTTCCTTGTTATTAATAAAGCATAAAATCAATTTGTTTGCTTGAATTATAAAAAAGAGTGAAATTAATTATCAATGTTATTAAAGTTGTTTTGTATGTTTGAAAAGATATATTAAATTATAAATTACCTATTACTTTTATATTACCAACACCGGCAAAGAAACAACCTAACAAGATTAAAAGTAATGAATTGGGATTTTTCGTGATTGAGTCTAATTTACCAAAGTTTGAACCAATTATTTAGTTTTGTTAGGTGATGTAAAAAAAGATATATTACTAAAGTTATTATTTTTCAGTACACAAATATCAGTTTATCCACATTTTTTTTTAGTTTATAGTTGTTAATTAATTGTATGGTACAGGAAATAAGCAACAAATAGTAATACATACCAGTTGGCCCTTGCGAATAATCTACATAATGTATTGGTTTATGAACAAAGGACAAAATTATATACAAATAAGTTAGTGTAATGTATTTTGAGATAGGTGGTTTTTTTTTTCTGTCAGTGGAATCACATCATTTCATTCATTGATAATTTTTTTTTATAATTTGATAGATTTATTTGAACAGTAACAATGCAATCTGCCACAATCAAAGGCATACGGTATTATGACTCTATGCTTACATTTATTCCTTATATACAATTTAAAATACAAGCTAGGAAGAAAAGAAAATAAGAATAAAGCATAAGTAAAAATATATACATTAAAATAAATAGAATAATTCTTGTAAAAAGAAAAAAAAATTACTTGTCGCACATTCATTCCTATATAGAATTCATTGATAATATACACAAAAAATTGTGTACATCACT